ATAAGTAATATCAAAGCAATTGCACTTGCGGTTTTTAACAAGAAGTCGAAAATATCAGTTTTTACCAAAAATGACAAAAATATTCACCAAAATTAGAGAATTAAAGATATCATTACAAAATGAACAAATCTGAGAGAGGTACACATGTAGTACCTATAGATGTAATATCAAAGCAATTGCACTTGCGGTTTTTAACAAGAAGTCGAAAATATCAGTTTTTACCAAAAATGACAAAAATATTCACCAAAATTAGAGAATTGAAGATATCATCACGAAATGAACAAATCTGAGAGAGGTCCACATGTAGTACCTATATATGTAGTATCAAAGCAATTGGACTTGCGGTTTTTATCAAGAAGTCGAAAATATCAGTTTTTACCAAAAATGACAAAAATATTCACCAAAATTAAAGAATTAAAGATATCATTACAAAATTAACAAATCTGAGAGAGGACCACATGTAGTACCTATAGATGTAATATCAAAGCAATTGCACTTGCGGTTTTTAACAAGAAGTCGAAAATATCAGTTTTTACCAAAAATGACAAAAATATTCACCAAAATTATAGAATTAAAGATATCAACATGAAATGAACAAACCTAAGAGAGGTCTACCCAAGGTACATATATACCAAGTATCAAAGCATTTAGGCTTGTAGTTTTCAAGAAGAAGTCAAAAAAGTAAAACATTGACACGGACGACGACGACGGACGACGGCGACGGACAATCACTCATATGATAAGCTCCGCTCGACAAAGTCGACAGTGGAGCTAATAAAAATGGTCAAAAAGCCTTGGAGATATAGTAGTATGGTCAGATAAAGTACTAGGCACATGCAAAGAGTGAACAGATTTAGTCCACAGGGGTTCTGAAATATGACTCTGGATGGATGGATGGATAATGGACACCGAATTATAAGGCCCTGTTTCAAAATTCACTTGATCAGGGACTAATAAAGTACCACTTGCATAAAATAAAGAAAATTACCAAATTTGTTCTATTAAAATTGAAGTCACATAAATACAAAAAAATTTATTGTATGTTCAATAATTGAAATATGACAGAAGTGACATCTGAAATAAGTGTATGCACTATTAATAATATGATAACATTTTCATTCAAGTAGCATAATTAGATTTTGAACTAAAGTTGATGAAGACATCAGCTCAGTGGATAAAATTGTCTTCAAACACACCCCTCGTCACCTATAATTACTTGAAATGGGAAAAAAAATATACTTGTACTTCTCTTGGTTATGTGACCCATTGATATTGTCTATAAACCCACAGTTGTGGTTTTGATTACAAGATCGTAAGCTGCTACAGTTATATACACGAGCAAACTACTCAGTACAAAACCTCATATGAACTAACATTGTGTTAATCTCACATAAAATGAACCTACAATGTAGTTAGGACTTCACTCCACTGAGCATGTAGTTTACAATGATATGTACATGAATCAGGAATCAGTTTCTACAAGTTATTGGCCACCGTTCTTCCGCAATGGTTATTGAACCAACCACTTTCAGATAAATGAACTGTGAATGCAAGGTCACTCTACTGAGCTGGTAGTTTGTGTTTGAAAGCAACATGTAGTTTACTATGATATGTACATGAATCAGGCGCGATTTCTACAGGTCATTAGCCATCGTTCTTCTGCAATAGGGCTGCAAATTTGCAGTTATTACTTTGTTAAAGTATGGAAACTCTAAGACTAACCTGTAGCGAATACAAAATAAATCACAGAAATAAAACTTGCACACAGTATCACTAGACCAACAGCATTTTATTTGTTAGAATTAAATCTGTCCATACATGTCCACAGAAACGATAGGGTGCAACATATTAAAATATTAATGAAGGATAA